TATCCCCAGTCTTTTTATTTTGAGATGGGTTCTCACTAAGCTGCCAGGGTTGGCCTTGAACTTGTAATCTTCCAGCCTTAGCCTCCAGAGTAGCTTGGATTACAGACATGTGTCACCTTTTTGAAACAATTTTTTATTCAATACTGCTCTATTTTAGCAACTTTTTGTATATATTGGATGAGAGTCATCAGTCTATGCAAATATACACTACCAAAAATTGTCAACTGATATTTCACCTTTATCTAAAAAAAAAAGTCATAATGTTGTAATAGGACCTATTTACACTCATACCATTATATGTATCAAGCATTTCACTTAATCCTCACAACAGCCCTACTCACAAGTAGATATTATTGTTCATCTTTTCACAAACAATATGTCACCTTGAGAGTTTCTTTGCATTTTGTTTTCAAATGTCTCAAAATGGTACTCCCGGTGAATACAAACAATAAATACATTCTCAATCCAAAATGTTCACTACTTTTAAAAACTGTTTTAAAGTCCTCCTTAGACAATTGAAGAACATTAAAACATGCATATATCATGATACAAAATAGAGATTCAAATCAGATTCCCCAAATCACACATATTTTCACTGAAAATCTAAATAATTAAGTTGTTCATCAAAAACAGTTAAATATCAGATATGATTAATCTAAAAAAACTTTTCTTAATTGTGACCATTTCACTGACTTACTCAAAAATATACAGAAAATTTTACTAGGAAATATTTTTCTTTCCAACACTTTTCAGCAATCACTGAGAGATGTACTATACTTCAACAAAACCTGGGGGGAGAGGGCCTAACTTCATCAGCAGGTTCAACATGGGAGTTGGTTTTTCCATCCAAGATGGTAATTTACTACTAAGACTCCATTTTCATTTCCCCAGGCTACTAAATTTAACCATTTTTAAACAAACTTTATTTCGGTTTAATAATACATGAATTTTCTGCCTCATATGTGCAAAGCCATGTTCTAGGGGTTTGGGTTTTCCTACCTACTTCATTCCATGATCTCCTATTAAGAAATACCATTAAGCTAAAGACATAGCAAATAATCTACAACTGTCATTCTACTCAAAGAATGTATTAAGTATTTTTCCATTAAAAGTATACAAAAGGGTTAAAAAGTCTTAATTGAAAGAATAATAAAGTAAATTTGTTAAATCAGAATTATAAAATTTCAAAAAAAGAGGAAATATCAAATTTCATTTGCAATACTAGTACCCAACTATAAGGAACAGATTTTAGTACACAAATACAACTTTATCTTCAAGTATCGCATTTATTACCAGAATATTTATAAATCATTTTATTGGAAAATCAATATGAGACCCAAACACTCATGAGTTTATTTTATTTATATACTAAAGAAACTTCCTCAAGGTCCTTTACAGTCCTGCAACTCAAAGTATGCTGCAGAGACCAAAAGTACCCTCCTTTACTGAGACCTTGGTAAAAATGCAGACTCACTCTGATTGCCAACGTTCAGTATCAGAATCTGCATTTTGATATAATTCCCAAGCATTTTCTTACATACATTAGAGTTCAAGAAGTACTGCCCTGTATCATGGGAGCCTAAGTTGGCTCCTAGGGGTAATGAATTTCATGAATCACTTTAAATTTCATGCAGAACTTTTTGCAAGTATATATATACACACATTTCACTAAGGAAAGACTCTGTATATTTTTATCAAACTCTCAAAATAATATATGACCCCAAATAGATTAAGAACCACTACCCTATAGGAATCTATGCAGTGGCTATCATGCACACAGTTAAAAGTCACAATACTCCAAAAATTATGGGACTCTCAATGAGGTCCATTAAAGAATGACAAGAATGAAGGTCAGAACGTCACAGTGGGTCACGAAAGACCTTATCTGAAGAATTTATTCACACCATGCAAGAACTATGCCAAGAAACCAGTTTAGAGACATCTAAATAAATAATTCTCTACATGAGGTTTGAGATTAAGAATGTGCACTAGAAGAAGATTCAAACTGAGAAGTAAATAAATATAAGGTAGGATTTTTTTTTAAAGGATAGGATGCCATCAGATGACAGTGAAATGCCAAATTCTTGTTGTAAGAGCTCAATCAGCAAATCTTGAATATGAATTCTGTTTGATTTGGGATACTGAATCATTTAAAAATATTAACTTCCAAATACATTCTTATAATAGTTCCTTGATGAGGAAATTCCAACATATTTGACTAGTCCCACTTTCCTCATCTTCTCTTGACCTTATAGGACAAAGCAAAGAAGAATCATGGCACATAAATTAAAAGAAACATACTCATGATCTTCACTGAATTAAGTGACAAAGAATGGTTCCTATTCAGAACAGGGTATGTAATTCACTCTTTGATATTATCATCTAACCATCTTGTCAAGGAGTAAGAATACACTTTATGTCCAAATTCTGTTTCCATAAGCCATTCTGCAAATTTAATTTCCTTGATGGGTACCTAAAATGTTAAAAAAAAAAATTAACTTGTCTTTCTTGAGACTGTATTAAACTACCATTGTAACTGGCTACCTGTGATAAGTCTAGTACTTCACAGTCTGGTCCCCAGGGTGGATCCATATCCTACATACTAGTCATCTTGGGCAAGAAAAGAAAATACCAGAAAATATTCAAAGAGATCAATTCCTTTCTGCCTCTATCTATCTCCATGGATTATAAGGAAAAAAAAAAATGGCAAGTTCTTTAGTCTAAAGTGTCCCATTAAATCACATTCAAAGGACTTTTCTTGATTCTATAAAGAGCCATTAAGAGTTCTTATTATCAAAGTATAATAGGGACTGAGATCAAACTGTTAGGCTCTGTTAACTATTTATCTTGTTTACATCATAAATATCTCCTAGTATAGTATAAATTTTAGGTCATCTAAGTACAATTACTCACTTAAATTACAGAAATGTGACCCTTAAACAATGAAAACTAAATAAAAGAATGTAGTACTTTAAACATACAATAGTCCCTCAGACACTCAACCAACTAAAAGCTAATGTTTCAAACATAAACAATTTGGTATTTGTTTTTCAGCCCAAACAGTTCAAACAATGTCAACTTGATTTTTGAAGTTAAAGGAATAATAACAGGGACAGGCATACTGACAGTAGTGATGCATAACAGAAGTCAGCAAGAAAGACTAATAAAAATAAGATAAAAATTAATATTTGTTGACCACTTTTTATGGAGCTGACACTTATGTAGATCCAGGATTATTATCTTTACTTGACGCATGAAAACACTTAAGGTTTCAACAATTAAACAATTTACCCAAAATTACAAAATTAGATGGTGACAGGTTTGGGGGGCATGGTTTTAGGGATGATAGGAGAGGAAGAAGGATAGTAAAGGTGTAAGAGGGGACAAGAATGGGGAAGAAATAGTGAGCCTAGTTTTACCTGAAAAATTAAAACAATGAAAAGAAGGTAAGCACTTAAAGGGCAAAAGAGGTTACTGAGTTCAGGAGTAAAATGGTTCCTCACACGCTAATGGCCATCTTTAAAGTAAATTATATAATTACTGATAACTTTTTAAAATAAAATAGCAGAGCCAGGATTCGAATAGCCTATTTGACTCCAAAGCTCATGCTCCTAAATACTGTACTCACAAAGAAACTGATTAAGTATGAAATAATAAATATTTAGAATAAATATTGTAATAGGAATCTCAAATGTCACTGTAATTGTAGTTTTAATAACATTTTATACTTCCAACAACAAATAAGTATATAAAAATATGTACTAGTTAAGCCACTTTATCTAATTCTTTGTCTGACAGTGACACAGAACTAATAATCTAAGAGGTTATGGATATGTCACAAAATTCCCAAATACCCCATAATCAACTGTTTCCAAAAACATACTCTCAGCTTTTAGGAATGTTTTTATATTTTAAATCCAAATCATTTCTCAAGACAATGAAATCCATCTTCCTTTTTAAAATAACATCTTTTATTGATCTCAAATAACTGTTCTAGATTTAGTTTATGGTCATTTGGACCTCTGGTCTCTAGATCAGGTAAACTCTACTCTTTCCTTAATGTAGTATATAGTCAGTATAGAATCAAAAACTCTGAATCATTTAAATAATGGAAAATATACTTAAAATCTAAGTTCTTTCAAAAGAATCAAAATTTAAATTCTTTTTTTATTTAATTGATTTTATTTTTTTAATACACGAGAGCAGAATGCATTACAGTTCTTATTACACATACAAAACACAATTTTTCATATCTTTGTATATAAAGTATGTTCATGCCAATTCATGTCTTTATACATGTACTTTTTTTTTGCATTACAATTCTTATTCACATATATACCACAATTTAAGCTAAAAAGTTTCTTCTCAGCAAAAGAAACAATCTGTAAGTGAACAGAGAATCTACATCCTGGGAGCAAATCTTTACGCACACATCAGATAGAGCACTAATCTCCAGGGTATATAAAGAACTCAAAAAGCTAAGCACCGAAAAAAACAAATAACCCAATCAACAAATGGGCCAAGGATCTGAACAGAGCCTTCTCAGAAGAGGATATACAATCAATCAACAAATATATGAAAAAATGTTGATCATCTCTAGCAATCAGAGAAATGCAAATCAAAACTACTCTAAGATATCATCTCACTCCAGTCAGAATGGCAGCTATTATGAAGACAAACAACAATAAATGTTGGCAAGGATGTGGGGAAAAGAGTACACTCATACATTGCTGGTGGGACTGAAAATTGGTGAAGCCAATATGGAAAGCAGTATGGAAATCTGGGAACCACCATTTGACCCAGCTATCCCTCTCCTCAGACTATACCCAAAGGACTTAAATTCTTTTCATGTATCTTCAATTTCTTTAAATTAGGGCTCATCTGAATTCAAAATGAGATCACATTTTGAATAATCAGAAGATCACAAAAAACTATTATCTCAAGCAAACTATATTTAGGCTTAAAAATAATCTCATTTATACAATTCAAATATTAGTTACCTCTTCATCATCTTCCTCATCTTCAACATCCAGAATTCCTGAATCCTGTTCTGACTTGGGGCTAGTGCTTTCCATCTCTGTATCAAAGATCGTATATGCATCTTTCTTAGATTTTCTCTTGCTGCCTATTCTGGGTTGTTGCAAGACAATGTTATCCAGGTTTCTTTGTTGTTGAGCCTAGGATACAGAAAAATAACATACATGGGGCGGGGGGAGGGGGGATAAAGAAAAGATGAAAAGAAACAACACTTAATCAAGCTGATAATGAGCTTACAATTTTGAAAAAATTAGTTTCTTACAGAAAATACAACAAAATTCCTTAATATATAAATTTTTAGCCCCAGATACAAAATCTAACATACTGATTAATTAATTTTTAACCCTGAAGTTATTTGGTCTTAACTCACTGTCCAATTAACACAGAAAAAAAGATAATCAGTCAACATTATCATAAAACTTTTCAAATATATCCACTAAATTACCATTTTCATATAAGTAGTCAAGAGATTAGTACAAATGCCTAAATTTTATCTCTTAGAACAAAATGCCACAATGAATGGTTAATAATGGTTAAAGGAAAAATTAATTGGAACTAATTAATACATTTGAACTTAGGGGACTTTAATAAACAATTATATGAATATAAGATACTAATAAAATATAATCATAAGGATGAATTATCTAAGAAATGAATTTTTTCTGAGATTTAACTAATGAATCCAACAGGACCCTTTGATCATGACCTATGGAAAAGAGTTTTAAAGGGTTTCTTCTTCGGAGCTTATACAGAAAAGGAAGTGCAATCCACTCAGCCTAACATAATTACTAAAATTACAGTATGGTTTCAATAGATGCAAAGAGGTGGGAAATGTGACTATCCAGAGTCAACAATAGGAGCATTAAACCACACAGGACTAGAGCTGGAAGTGACCTCAATTACCACTCAGGAAACTGAAGCTAGAGGACAAAGCGTTTGTTTGAGGTCCCAAGGCTAGTGAATGGTAAAACAGAGGCTCAAAGTGTGATTTCCAAATTCCAGATCATTGATCCTTCCACTACAACAACAGTCCCTAAAAACATGACAAAATGTTTTCCAAGATAAGGATTTTGTGGCCAAATGAATGGGGAAACACTACACATGATGCAGCCTTGTGGATATACACCAGGATGAAAGTTTGGAGTAGTACAATTTTAAAGAAACTTAATTTGGTTAAAGCCAGCACATTCCAAAACAACATTTCCCAAACTGAACTTTCTTTTTTTTAATGTAATATTTAGCATCATGCCATGATACAAAGCTTGAGCATGTGACATCTCAGAACATACACTCTAATTAATATATGATAATTTTCCTCTGTGACAAGTTGAAACAGGAGAAAAATCAGTGTCTTCAAATCTTCTGAATGAGATTAAGGAATGTAGGATAAATATTATAGTGTAAGAAGTCAGTTCAGGCACTGGTCAAATGAAACAATTATAATAGGCCAGAGAAAAACTTGAAGTATGTGAGCTGGTTTCTGCCAAGAAAATAAGAAGAATCTACATTCCACAGATTTCAATCAATGGACAAATCTGTTTCTCTGCATATTACCCATTGATATTTTGATTTGATTTACATAAAATACATGGCTTCTTTAACAAACTGGTGTAGAGGAGGTACCCAAAAACATTAACTTAGATTTGTACATAAGACATATATCCTCCAAGCATTAGAGATCCCAAATAAAATAGAACATTCTTTCTATTCTCACAAGTAAGATGTTTTTCCCATCTATGTTCAGTACAAGCCACACAGATGGGATCAAGAGCTCTGGGAAGGCACAAAAGAAGGCAGAACTTCTAAAGCTTCCATATTTAAAAAAGCAATCACCAAAATGAAGAGTGATCACTTGCTCACTTTAACTCTACCTTCTTTCAGTACACCAAAACCTTTCTTTCATAAGTAGATTTTATTAAATTCCAAATTAATAACTTTTTCACCATCAATAAAATGTCTCAAAAGCAATCAAGAGGAGCCAAACTAGATACTGTCACTGAAACTTCAAGTGATAAAAATCTAGAAAGGGTCTTATGAAAGTATTTTTAGATTTTCTATGAGTTTTTTTTTTTTCTATTTTAGTTGTCATCTGGTTTTCCTAGTCATATAGAAGATGCAAAGTCATTTTGGCCAAATCAGAAAATTGTTACAGTGAACCCTTTGCTACAAATCAAAGTGTTTCAAGTTGTATACTAAAGCTCTGTCTGAATGGATAGGCTTTTCCAATCTGTAAAGAAACCCTCAGAGATCTGCCAAGCAGGAAGGGCCACGTTGGAAATACCAAATTTCGGGTGGAACAACATGATACAAAATGTGTGTTTTGAAACTGGCATGAAGTAGTGAGGACAAAATATAGACATAAACATATAAGAACATAAATGAAAATGTGAAAAAAAAATCCATAAAAGCACTTTGGAGATCTTTCTTAACATGCTCAGTGGTTTTTACCAGGACCACTTATTCTATGCCTAAAAGTTAACTCCTAGAATAATGTGCCAGAGAAGCAGGTGACTGATTTCTACCAACTGGGTTGGATTAGTAGGAGAAGGGCACAAAGCAAACACATAGCTGCTGGACCTTAGAAAACACTTAGGCATTTTAATTTTCTTTACTGTTCATTCTCTTTGTGAATTAATTTTTATACATTTCATCATCTATACTGTAATATATGGTTTCCTAATATATAGAAACTGAATGAGTTTCACACAACACACACACACACACACACACACACACACACACTCCTCTTTTACTACTCCTTTCACTCTCCCTACCCAGTAGCATATCTGGTTTCCTATTATTAATATTTCCTACCATCACCTCCCTTCCAACATCACTGCACTGTCTCTGCCAACTGTAGCCAGGCTCTTCTTAACCTACAACGTTCATCATGCAAATTAGGCGATAAGCAACTTTAAAATAAGGTAAATGGGTGCAGAGGAGGGATTAAATAAGCAAAATCCAAACTACATAATCTATCACTTGGATTTTCCCATAGTGGAAGCTGAGTATATTTTCCAATGTATTCATCAGTACTCTCCACCCTCAATCTTCCTCTTGGATTAGACTCTGCCTCCTAATATGCTGGGTGAATTTGCACTGATGTACCTTTACTCTCGTCATTTCTCTACGTGATGACTCCTCCCTGCCTGAATCAAAACCCCAACTAAAATTCTTCTTCCATTAGAAAGCCTCTCTTTCAAAGCACCCTATGAGTTAGGCAGTAAGAGAGGGCGTTCATGTGTTGAATGCCTACTTGGAATCAAGGCAGGCATTGTGCTGCATGCTGGGTATGCTAAGAAATAAAATGAAGTCTCTGACTCATGAGCCTCCCATCTCACTGTTACAGGGAAGAGGCAAATAAGTAGATGAAGTTCAATGAAATGTGTATAATAATTGAAATAAATAGAGGACAATGATTGCACAAAGCAAAATGTAATCAGATCTGCATGAAAGAGTTTCAGGCAAGACTTCACAAAGAACCAGGTATCCAATGATATTCTTAAAAGATAAATATTTTTCCAAATGGATATAGAGGGAAAGGATAACTATTCCAGAAGAAGTAAATAGCAAAAAAAAGGACTACATATGAAATAACATTATCCACCAGAAACGATAAGAAACTTTAAATAATTAGAACAGAGCATGAGTTATGAAGGATTAACAAGAAATAAAGTTAAAAATGCCACATAAAACAACTTCAATGTTAGCAGGCAATGGAGAAACAATGAAAAAATGTAAGCAAGGGGAAAACAACATCAGCTTTACAATTCAGACAAATCTTCTAGGTACAGAGGAGCAATTAACTGGGAGAAAATAAAAACTAGAAGCAGGAAAATACATATAGACTAGTCCACATAACAATGATAAGAATTTGAATTGAGGTAGCAGAAGATATATAAGAAACAAAAGGAAAATAATTTATTGATTTTCATGTTGTACATGGAAGAGAAGAAGGAAATACAAGTAACTCCAATTGTTCTGGCCTTGATGACTAGCTGGTGGTAAGATTCCAAGCAACAGGAAACATGAAAATAGCAGGCAGAGTGTAGGACTGAGAAAATGAGTTCAGTAAACCTACTGATATTCAGGTGAAAAAGACACTGAAGCACCTCAGTATACCACTTTTCTCTCTTTTAGAGTAAGAAACACTACACTACCGTATTTTGGAATCCCCTAAGTCCAGACACATTGACATACACATAGTAAGTTTACATATATGTTTACTATGTAAAGGCAGGAGATAACAAAAGAAATCCATGTGAGAATGAGATTGAGCACCAAAACAGAAAGGGATTTCCATGAGATACATTACTTGGCTACTCTTCTTACTTATGATAAGACAACAGCAGCTAAGGACTACGGGAATGACCATAAGAATTACCTAATCTGAACTATTAACCTAAAAAGTCACAATCAACACTTTTAAAACAGTCAAAAATTGTCTATGAGGCATCCTATATATGTCATTAAAATAAAGATTTACCATAGAATATAATTTCCAAAGGTACCTATCTAGAGCCAGTTAAAATAAGAATCAAAAACAAGACTCCTGTTTGTTAACCCGATACTGACCTCTAGTGGATCAGAGCAGTGCATATAAATGACCGTTAAAACCAGAAACTAGTTGAAAAATGAAGGGTTTAGACCTATAGGTTGGATCTCTAATATAATTACTATACATAGTTTTCAATAACAGGGTGCTATAATACAGAAGAAAAGTTTCATAGAGTAATATAGGTCTTTAATATTTGCAATTTATTAATTCAATAATTTTGGGTAAGTTACTTCACTTCTCTGTGGAACATACCTACCCATAAATAAAAAACAAGATTAATCAAACCCATCTCAGAGGTATCTCAAGGATTAAATAAGATAATATATATGAAGTAATTTAAATTACAACAAAACACACTAAAATATAAGCTCCACCTGTCTTCCCTCTTAAAATGAGACGGGAATCTTGTTTCACTATCTAGTGTGGAAGCATCTGAAACCTAGCAATATTTAGACACATGAACATTAATGGCACCAAATTTTGCCTCTGTATGCATTTCCAGTACTAAGTTTCTGTACAGGACACTTCCAAAGATCCTTTCAGCCTCACCTCTTATTTCAGCTATCAGCAGCAGCCAGTGCT